TGTTTGTTTTCTAAATATTTTTTTACGTCTCATTACTTCCCTCAGATATAATCAGATATTCTTACTGTTAATTGCTGGATGTTGTTCACACGGAGGTGTTTTATTACTAGTGGAGCTATTAAAAAAAAATAAAAAATCTGTGCTATCACATTTTATTACAGTCCATAATAATTCGTAAAATATAGACAAAATGCAAAAGAAAGTTTCAACACAGACAAAAGCCATGAAGCAGATACTTGATTTAAGGATCAGTGTGTAGGATTTAGTGGCATTTAGTGCAGCTGCAGCCTGCAACTCCCTCTTGTCTCCTTCCAAGCAGGAGGGAGAAACTACGGTGGCCGTGAAATGCACCAAAAAACTCAAACAGCCTTATCAAGAGCCAGTGTTTGGTTTGTCCGTTTGTAAAAATAGATTTCTAGTATATTTAACTTGGGAGTCTTTCAAAATATTTAAAATGATTAAGAAAGGATTTAGAGGCAGGCTCAATAAAGAAGCTCCTTACATGCATTGTTTAGCCAGGATCCATAAAGGCTTGGTCCTGACCTGCTTTTGAAATGTTTTGAAGACTCATAGTCTTTTTTTACTTTGCACTTCAGTAGTATGTGATTTTTCCCTTTTTTTGTCATGTAGGTTGTAGCATGACGTTTTGCTGCAGTCTGCTGATTATGATGCTGCTACTTTCTTGAACAGCTTTCTAGACAAATGCATTTTAAAATGTATACGACAGGCAAGCAGCAGTAACAGTTCTAAATATAAATATTCTCTAAATATTCCAAATATATAGCTGAACCTACAAACAGAGGTGGTATGTAGTTTCATTCCTGAGATGAACCACATAGAGAAATGAAAAATTAAGCTCAACAACATTGGTTTGCTGTGCCCATGCGCTTATTAATCTGTTTTTTTAGTAGATTTCCATTACCTTAATGATAATTTATGTTTCTGATAATCAAGTCTAAGAAAAAGAAAGCTACTTAATTGCAGATGGGGTTTTTTGCCATGCAGTGTAGGCGCAGAAGCAGCTGTCCGCTTGTTGATTACATCACTTTAGTAGAGGACGACCATCGAGGACAAGTATACTGTACACTCATACTACAACTCAGTGAACTGCTAAATAAATTAGCTTACAGTGGTTGTTCACTTCATTGAGCAATGTAATTTTGCAAGCACTGATACACATAGTCCCTTTTTTTTGTGCAGGGTCCAGGCAGCTTACTAGCACTGCTGCCTGTGTCTGGATTACAGACATATTAGTGTTTGCCATTTTGCAGTCTGCTCACAGAGGAGGCTGAGAAATCTGTGAGGGAACATGGCACATTTTACACTATTTTAACACAGTCTGTTTACTCCAGCATTTGTGATCAAGAATTGTCTCGGTTAATAGTCTAAAGCCATAACCACCACCTGTCTGTACATCAAATTCCATGAGGTCTTATAATTTTGTGATAAACTCCTAGACATAACCTCCTTGGCAAAAGTAACAATGAAGTGTGACATTGATAAGTACTTCAATAAACTTAGACTTGGACAATACTGACAGCAGTATCAGAAGTTGAGCCTGTTTGGGTTGTAAAACGCCTTCTGCATACTTGAAAGTGGTTCTGTTTGAAGCAATTATGAGAGTAAATATGAGCAACACTACCCCAGTCTCACTGCTTTTAGCTGTACAGCTGTCCCATTTCCAAAGAGTCAAGAAAAGTTTATAATTTAATTTATTTGGAAAGTATTTTCTAGCAAACAAGTTTATCACAAAGTGGTTTACAAAACAAGACAAACACAGGGAATAACAAGCAAATTACACATTTAATTCTTGATTTACAGGCTTTTATACACAGTTTCAAATGATCTGTTTTTATACCAAAATCAATTAATAGTGATATTAAAAATACATACACCCTGGTTTGGTGCAGTAACTATTCGTATCCCAAATATGTTCGTTTTCCTATGTCTTATTGAGTTTTGACTTAAATTTAGGGGTCTCCAGGAATACTACTATTACTGCTCAGCCAACATCCAAAAATCAAAGTATGACAGCTGTCTCAGGTAAAGGATGCAAGATATAACGAGTATCTTGATATTCACACTAAAAACTAAACCCTTACCCAATTAAATTCCTGAATATTAAAACACTCATTTGACTATTTTTAAAGCATGGTTCAGAACTGTGCTTGTATTTTCAGTTTATTGGCATGTAATTTAGATTTTGTTTGTTTTGTTTTCAGAATCACGTGTCAAAGGTCACCAGATGTCATAATCCAGATGTATTAGCAAAATGGATTAGTGCAGTGGACTGCCAAGTCGCAGACTGATTTTATGCGAGTAATTGAATAATCAAACCATACAGATGCAATCAAAATATTGCATTATTAATATCAGCAATCCATAGTCATGTAAACATATATTTATATATAATATAAATATAAAATCCATGTACTACTAATAAAAAATTTAAACCTCTATGTAGCTTTTTGCCTGTTACACTGATGTGAAAGCTGTGTCTCATGCAGTGTGAGCTCTAAAGCTTGTGTATGCACACATGTATGTGTCCGTGTGATATGAAGCCCCCTGCATAGTACTGGGCAAATGAGTGGATTCCTCCCTCTGGTTCAGACAGAAAGATGACAAGATTATTATTGACTCTAGGATACGGTCCACAGCACCATGGATAAGAGCCTACCCACTGAGCCTAGCTTAGGTTCCTCAGAGGCAGCCGCTGGTGAGGTGCTGCGAACGAGGAATAGTTAAGTGACATGTCTTTCATGAAACACACAGGGAATCGGCACCTCCTGCAGATGCAAGGAACTATTTGCAACCTCTTATGCTGTAGCGTCATCCAGAGTGGTGTCATGTCATTGGGTCTGTAACTCTTGCACTTGTGCATCGGAGGTGGTACAAAAACATCAGTCAACTCCAGGGTGCACGGCTTGACTCTCCCTGTCCCCCTTTTGTGCACCGTAGAGGAGCTGGTGAGCAGGAGGTTGACACTTGCCTAAGGCGAAAGGGGGGGAATTATAATGTGGATTTTTTTTCTCTTTCCTTTATTTTTTGTGTGATGGGTGGGTATATAAATAAATAAAACAGCCAGCTGCTATTTACAGATATCTTCTTTCCCCTGTGCGTGCTACAGACACATTCAACGGAATCCCAATTCCCTTTTACCAAAATGTAAGTAGAGGATTGAAAGATTGGAGGCTGAAGTCAAGTGTGAAGCTTTACTGCCTCCCAGTGGACAGTTTAAAAAAAAGAACAGAATCACCACTGTCGCAATCGCAACAAAATGCACAGTTTCATGACTTATCATCCATAGAAACACACAGGGGATGGATGGATGGATGTGGGTTTATGTTTGAGGATTTTGGAGGGCTAAACAAGGGTCGTCAGTCATTTAAAAGGTGGGTGCCTTCGAGTGGGTAAAGTACTTCGCAATGAGGCGGACGTGCGCGGAAGCGAGAATGAGCGGAGGGAGTACGAGTGGACGTGGGCAAGGCAGGCTGGAGGCTGTCGTTGGTCGGCCCAGGGAAAAAGACAAGCGCCGAGGGGACAGAGACACGAGGACGACTGGCGAGCGAAGAAACGAGGGGCGGGCAGAGCAGGTTCACGTGACGGAAGAACCAGCGGAGTACACGGAGAAGGAGAGGAGGGGAGGGGCAGTGGCGTGGCAGCACTGTGAAAGGCTGGAGCGATGTAGGGATGGTGAAGGGAGGATCAGACGGAGGCCGAGGCACAGTGACAAGGGAGGATGGGCGGGAAAGAGCGAAGTAAAGGGAAGGAAAAATGCAAGTGACCGGCGAGGCAGAAAACCAACGAGGGGCATCCAGGGGAGAGAGGACCCTGAGGGAAAGAGCGTATAGGAAGGAGAAAAGGGGGAAAAGGAACGCGAGGGGCGCGGGCGCGCCACAGGGAAGG